CCGGACTAGGTGCGTTTCTTTAAGTCTTCCTACCAATATGACCGAATTGCGAAAACAAGGTCAAACAACTCCTATTTAGGAATTCTGTTCGTGAATTAAATTTATGATCAAAGACTATTAGGATTTCTAGTAAATTCTGTATAAGAAAATTTTAGTATTTTATACATCTTTCAATATTTTAAGCCTTGCTTTCCAACCAAGACTTGCGGTAAATGCATTAATTTCAGGTCTATCCTTTTTCTTACATTCTCAATTCCACTTAAGCTCATAGAAGAGATATTCTCGCTCTTAAACTTTCATTACCATGCGGATGCCTATCCGAATATACTTATTTATAAATAAATTAACTATATACGATATGTAATCACGCTATTCAGTTTAAGTTAAAAAGTGCACGAAGAGTCTCGAAAAAAAGTAAGTCCTTGTTTTCAAATTTAGCTTTAGAAAAGATAACAAGGATATATCTAATTATTTAAAAAAAGACATCCTTGTTAATTATCATCAAAAAATGTTTTTTTAATTAAAATATATCACTCTGCAATCTTGAAATAAGTTCTGTGAGCGAAATGCCTATAAAATGGGTATCTTCAAGCAAGTGTAGGGAATTTTCCTGCACTTGTTACACCTTGTTCTGGCCGTGATAATCAAACTTTCACGATATAACTGTAAAGAATGCAGATTCGTTACAGATTCACAAAGGGCATAATGCACATTTTAATCGAATTTTCTGACCCACCCTCAATAGTATTTTGGCTAAGAGCGTGGAACAACAAAAACACGATATATGCTGCTTAGAGAAAACAGGGAAGGATATCACTTTCTTGAAACTTTACCTCCTGATCAATAGGTATATAATAAAAAACTACCTCTTTCCCTTTAAGAATACGGGTATGACCCGGAACAAAGTATAGAGATAAGCGATTACGCTTTTTTCGGGGACTCTCTAGTTATTAGTCATTTATAAATGTTTAAAGTTAAAAATGTTAAATGCCTCATGAATAAAGATTAGTCCAAAGGTAACCATAAATAGATTGATAAAGTGAAAATAATAGTCTAACTTATTACATTTATTGACTCAAAATGCTGTTCTTTCAGAAGTTTTAGTATTTATTCAAGTTAGATTTGATGTCCTTTGGCCCCACATAATTAACATCGTAGATTCCGCACAAGGCAGATATTTCGTTCCAATGTGGATAAGCTATAATTCATTAAGAACCAATATTTATTTCTCAATCGCTTATGTATTTGGTCGTGGTGGGATGAGATTATCAAAATGAGGTCTCAGAATAGGTCATCCAAGGTCGATAGGACAATTCATGTGCTGAAAGTAATAGGTTTCTTTAAAGGTGAATTTATAGTGTTTCATTACGGTCCCTTGGTAAGAAACCAGGTCCATCTTTGAATGGCGTTTGGAATGATGTGAAGTTCCTCATAGCAAATGTAATAAGGAATATATAATCCTAAATTCCATCTCGATCCAACCCATAATTGCATTCTTTCCGTTTGAAAGGAATCCCAATCTATTAAAAATAGAACGACTAAGTGTATAAAACAGGATAGGTCTCATGAAGTTAAATTTAATGAATGAATAAGACGTAATTCCTTAAGTTAGTTTAATTAAAGTTACATAATACATGAGCTAAAAACCGATATTGATACCTCTCATCTATTCAACTTGTAAAAATTAATTTCCTCTCTCAAGTTGGCCAGCCGGATCAAATCTGACCATCTCCACCTGCTGGGCGGTATTTCAAAACCATCGGTATTAATTTTGATTTAATATTTTCCAAATTTTGAAGAGAAGCCTACATTTTAGTGATCTGGAGACAAATTTAAAATAAAATACGATGCTTAGGCGTTCCGACTCTCCATTAATGGACGATGCAGCGGAAGGACTTGGGCCAGCTCACTGCCACAAATCCTAGCTAGGCAGGCATATTGAAGGCTTGCAGGGCAACAAATATCGAGATCATTCCGATTGAATTCCACAATTAAATTTTAATTTTATCATGATAAAAATTAGAAATCTGTAAGGGACCTCGTCTGTGATGAGAACAAGATGATTGGTGATACTGGTGCTTCCAGCAGTTATGATTATGTCGAAGGATTTGGCGCCCGTGAGGTGATTGGAGTTTACTCAGGAATATATGCTGCCTTGGATCGTTCGATAGGCCTGCGCCAAAGTTTGGATCAGCACGAACAGGAAGAGGATTTTGATTCCACAAAACAATGCAAAATCTGGCCAAGCAAGTGAAGGTTTCAGAAATCTATCATTAATCCACGATTTGGACATGATATAACTGATCTCGTTTCTCCGTTTCACAATGAGTCGTCTACATTTCAGGAGGTTTTCTCAGAAAGTAACCCAAATAAATAATCTTAATCATTACTATCCAAGAATATCTTGGTTGGGACTTAGTCGGAGTGATAGGGATTAATTTTTCCATTGTATGTAAGGCAATTGACCTGGTCAGGAACTTTTGCAGTCTAGGTTGCTTTGGATCAGAAGTTTTTAAGTTGTTTGTGTGTCCATCAATGATCAATATACGTGCTGCGAATCCTAGTAGTCAATGGCCTCATGTACGGGCTTTATTGTCGAAAGCCACTTCCATGGGCCCCAGTATAATATTTTCCTCCATATACCCTCATAATGTAAACGCAGAGACCGAAACGAGTTTGCGAGCTGAACTCCTGGCAAGAGAGACAAAATGGTGATTGCTTTTAGGCCTGTTTAAATTAATGTAACGCGGTGAATGCGTTTTTGTGCTGCAGTGCCTCAGAATATATGGTAGATTATCATAAAGGCTCTTTTTTTCAGAAAGACGGCTTAATTATTGAAACAGCAACTGCGAATAACTCAAGTAAGCCAATTATTTTATTGGGGTGGGTTTGCAACTACGATAAGCCTCTAGTAAGGCTCCGCACACGTAGAGACTAAATTTTTTTGGGTAACCAGCCCCAATTAAAAGTGCTTTTAGCAATAATGATTGGAATATAATAAGATTACTCTTATTTTTACGCAGTCTCAAGTAATAGGGAGTAGATGTGGTGGATTCTTAGCCTGACCACCATATTTTGCATAAGAGCACAAAAAATGGAATCCTCAAGTAGGCAGTCAAGGTGGTGAGTCATTTATATGTTTACGTGAAAGTAGGCAGCTTTGGTAATGTAATAGAGCAGTGGTATAAAAGAACTATGCAGTTTTCGCAAAAAGTGAGTGTAAGACTATAAGATCCCTTAATGTATATCGAATTAGTAAAGGTAAAATTCGATTTGATTTACAAAAATTAAAAAGCTAGAGAGATATTGCTTAAGTGAAACGAATATTGTGAAATATTATTCTCGTCAAATAGACTTCGATAAACAATAGGAGTTAAGTATACGTGGTGGTGCGGATGATATGGATCTTCACGTTGCCTTGGTTGTGTTATACTAAACTGGAGTCATCTAGCTTCTTAATTTACGATTTTCTAAATGTTATTGCTCCCTCTATCCACATAGCAAAAGATTTTAGATTACCAGCCGACATTTGGAGCCCCATACTCCATGTCATTAACTATTTTTATCTAGCCTAAATGGTGATACAAAATTGAGATGGATGAATTAAGGTCTTCTGATTAGCAGCCATGGTCAGCGGGTCGTTAACCGGTATCTTTCTGGAGGTATGCATAGTGCCCACGTTCATTTTCTTCTAGCTGTTAATTTCACTGGTGAATTTTTCAAAATAGTTTTGCATTTAACCATAAAATCTCAATCTAGAGGTACAGTCACTATAATTATGGTGAAATTAAGAAAATAATAACATTGTATCCGGCATATTTTTATATGCTATATACTTTTAATTTAGCATTTAATTACTCCCCTTAAGTCATAAATTGTAGATAAAAAGTAAACCAATGAGGTTGTTATTAACTAATTCATTCAATGGATTTAAAGAAGGATAAGGTCTAAAACCTATTGCGGGGAAGAATATAAGAAAAAATAGCGGCCTTATGAATAAAGTAAAATGAATGTTGAAGCCTAGTGAGGCGAAAAAGTCACTTGAGACTTTGCTTATACGCATTTATATTGTAGAAATCGTGTGAATAAATGAGATTTATGCGGAACTCATCGTTAAAAGAGATTCATGCACGCAGGCTCGCATTTTAGCTACGCAGACTTTTAAAAGTGTTAAAATCTACCAAAAAATTCCGATTTTCCGGAGCATTTGTGCTCTTACTGCACTGAAGATAGTGACTGTTGAGGCAGACATATTGAAATGCGAAACGGCGGCATCTGAAATTTGTCACATTTATATCAGCTCTTTGGATTAAACAGATAGAATAGTCAAATAAACATTATTGGACTCATCTTCTCTGGTGTTGAAGATCCAGATTGTCGTTACTTCTTTGATTAGATCCTCAACTTAGGAGCACACGAGTAAGTATATGAACTCATTTTATCTTTAATATTCATATCTTCCAAATTTAGTAGCCATCCCTCTTTATACGTCAAATAGCTTATTACGAACTTCCAGAAATATCTCATAATTGTAAAATTTCGAGTTAATGGACAGCCATTGTATTCAAAGCTTTTGATTATTTGGGAATCGGAAAATATTGTAACTGCCCCTTGGTAATATTGGAAATAAAGCTGGGTCATGCGTCTGTCCGTGCGAATAACCTCGATCGCTCTCTAATGTTTCATAGTCGTCCTAGCATTTGAGTGCTAGACTGACCCTTATTTACCAAATATTAGTGTATTTTTATTCTTTATAGTTTTACTCTATTTTTGCCTAAAGTCATTGCTCACTTTGCGCCCCATTTGGTGGTCAGCCCTCTAACGCTATCAACTAGTGTAACACATATTTTGCTGAAACCAATTTTGGCTCTTTGCCCTATCTCATTCTCCATTTTCATGGTTACATGTAAATAAGTATACGAGATTCAAGGAAATAAATGGAAAGAACGCTTTCCAAACACAATTTAGTGCTTAGCTCAGTTCTGCTAAAATAGGCATAACTTTCGTACAGCCGGTGAAAACGTGACTATGAAGCCATATACGTTTCTATCAGGGTACTTTACATGGTTAAATTAAATGCATTCATCAAGCCTTTTTTGGTTCACGTTAGAAATATTGCTATCTCTGCCGCTACAAAAATAAGTAAAAATTATTTGACTACTACAATAATCTGGTTGTTTATAGCTGCGGAACATAATACAAAATATGAAAAAAACAAATAGATACATTAAGAAGATAATTTTTAAAAACATAAAATTCGGGGCGATTTTTTCTTTGGATTTTTCAATCATTCCATTAAGAAAGGAATAAACTAGTAATTGAATTGGTCTTTATATTTATGATTCAA